GTCGCAGCTGATGCGACCCCTCAAAATTGCTTTTGTAACTGGAAGGAGAGGGGGGGAAAAAGCCCCGCGCAGCATGTGTTTGGCAGTGGTTTGTATAAACCCTTCCTCGGGTAGTGGCATTGCTTTCGGGGTTCTAGAAGTTGTTAGATGGAGCTGAGCTCGGGCGCTGTGCTCTCCATACCCCACGTTTCTGCCTGTGGGGCCGGCTGGGTCCCTCGGGCGAGGCTGTGGCCCCCCAAAGCTTTCCAGGGGATTCTGTTCCTGACAGAGGCCGAGTCCTCTTCCCCCGTTGCGACCTGGAAGCGCCGAGAGCAGTGGTGATGGGCAGCGCTGAGCCGGGCTGGCCGCTTGCTTTGCGGGCCCTCGGGAGTGTGTGCCGCTCCCTGTGAGTTCAGGCAGCAGCTTGTGTGGCCCAGGGCAGGGTGCTGCGGTAATTCAGATCCTGGCTGTCGGACTGGAAACTCCCGGTGAAGAAAGCAGGAACTTCAGGGGGAGAAACTTCTTTTCTAGGTGTTAAGAAAGGGCATACAGGAAAGTATAAAACCGTCGTATTTACCAGAGTCTGTAATGCTAACATGACATTTATTCGGAACCTCAGCACCTTGCCTTCCAGCTTTGGTGGCAGATAGGATCTTGCCTGTAGACAGAAAGAGCTTTCGCTTTTAACTTCATCATCTGTCCCTACTTGCCTGGTGAACTTGTACATTGGAGCTGTTAATGGGGGAAGTACCTGCTTTGCGTCCTTATCCCGCATGCCTGTGGTACCGGCAAACTTCTTCACGTTAATTAGAAGCAGTCAGTACTCCTGCTTCAAAGCACTGGGAGTTAAAATAAAAGTCACATTAGCAATGCTATTAAAATCCCCCCTGCTGACAAATAAAGAAGTAGTAACATCACCAGAAGCAGAAAAATATTCAAAAAACGTTAAAAAGCAGCCCCCAAACCCTTGAAATGCTAATGAGTCATGGGGGGACAATAAATCAAACTGCTGGTGGGAGAGATACCTTTAGATATATGTGAGGTACTTCTGACTCATCTAGTACCAGACTTGATGACCATAAGCCAGATGTGAAGAAACAGAAAGTTCAGCATTAAATCTAGTGATAGGACCAATCATACAGGTTGTTTGTTTTTTTTTTTAATATGAAACTGATTTAATTTAGGAAGATAACGGAAGATATGAAAAGAAAACTTGACAATGTTGAGTGTTTAGCAAAGATCAGTTCTGAATCAGTCTAAGAAAGGAAAGGTATTAAAGGAGGTCTAACATGTTATATAAGTTATTGAATCAGATCATTATAATTTGCAGATTAAAATTCAAGCTGAATGAGACTTTATGCCTTAAAAGTGAAATCTCTGCCAAAAGAGTGTAGACTTTGTTGTTATTATAAAAATACTGTTTTGACCAAAAAATGTGTAATAGTGCAACACTGACTTTGGTTTCATGCTGGATATTTACCCTGAGGTTAATACTGGCATAATTATATCTGTAGTTTTTACGAGTGAAAAAACCCAGACCTTGAGAACTCATTGGTGACTTGCTGGTTTTTTTAAATCCATTGAGTGCACTCATCTGGCACAGGCTTGTCCTTTTGTTTTGTTTTCACCCATTGACCTTCATGAAAATTTAATTAGAAAGGAAGAAAGTAAAGGAAGAGAGCTGATCTTGTACATAAGCTACCCCATTTTTATCACTTCAGGCAATATAATTCAGCCTGTAATAGGTTGCTAAAATGTTTAGCATTTGAATAGACATCAGTGAAGAAAGTGTGTTTACTTGATCCTTCTGCCCACTTTCTGTCTGCTTAGAAAGGATTCATTATGTTTCTGCGTCTTGGTATGAGTCTATTGAATGTTGCTTTGAAATAAATGACAAAATACATGTATACTGGTAATGTGCCAGCTGTCTTGTTACAAACAGAGTTTTAATTATGAGGATTTTTTTTAATTTGAAGATTTACAAATGGTTTACAGAGTGGGCTATGGATTATTTCCTTGCAGACCTCTTCCTTACTTTCTGTGTCTGCATCATAGATAGCTCTTTGGCATCTGCAGGAATTGCGAGCTGGGAGAAGTTCTCTTATCCTACTCTTGCAAGTTGTCTTGTCAGAGTTAACTGAGAATTGTAAAGGTTTGGGGTGTGGTGGTGGGTTTTTTTGGTTCAGATTTGAGATAAAACCTTTCTTCCCTTCTCTAGGCATTAAGAACTTTAGATTTTAAAAACGGTGTTGCTGCATGACTCTGAGTTTAGTTTAACGTCAGGTCTTTGCACTGTGTTGTTGCATTCTGTATGCTGCACCTCATTGCCTGGATGTTTTGGGATGGCTTTGCAAGAAATTGTACATCTTACATGAGGAAATAGCTAAATGAAAGTATGAAATCCACAGTAGCTACGCATAAAGAAATGTGATTAAAGTCCAAGAAAATGTCTGTCTCTTTGTGATGTGGCGTGGGTACAAACAGGAGCAGTACAAAGGCGGTGCCAGCCACCTTCTCATAATAAACATGCACAGGAAATTCAGTCATAATTCTTCTTCCAGGAGTTACAGGAAAGGCTTTTTGATTTCTTTTGAGTATCAGTTCACTGTTTCTTGTCAGTTGACACAGGCAGATGTAGAGTCCTCTCCCAGGCTGAGAGGAAAGGCTGCTGCTGTAAGACCTTCCGCTAGTCCGGTTGCCATTTTGCTCTTAAGATTCTTTAGATCCAGGAAGCCGCATCTTTCACCTTAGAGTCTTTCACTAGGTTCAATGGAAAAATCAGTGCTTTGACTAAACCAAAAAGGTAAAGGTATTCACCTGCAGCTCCTGCTGTTTTAGCAAGGGGGGAATTCTGGCAGTTCTAATGATTTTTTTAAAATTGTTTTAATTTAATCAAACTCGTCTTTTCTCTTTCTTTTGAATCTATGAAGACCTGAGTATCTGTCAGTTTCTGTTTCAGGGAGGGTGGAGAAGCCAGGCTGTCTCTAGAAATTATGCAACGTACCAAATGTGAAATTTTAGAAATGACAGAAATGTCCCTTAATTTATTCCAGTAGTAATTCGTGTTTCTAGCAAGCAGCTGAAAATACTTGTCTTAAATGAGCTAGATAAAAGTCACAATTAAAAATAGCTTTTTGTAAGTAGTTGGTCCAGTTCCTTTACGGTTTTACTGGAGTGCAACTTCCAGAGCCAGAGTGATCTGAAAGATCTGTGTATGTATCTGCCGTCATCTCTGATGCCTGTTCTTTGGCATATATACTGAATAATCAAATTTGATTTCAGGTCTTGTTTATTTTCAAAAGACCTTGTGCATGTGTTTTTGACTCCTATAGTTTTTGTTACTCTATCATTTAAACACCTGCGCACAACACAAAAGGGATTATAAAGCTTTCACTTTTCCAGTTGAGTTTTCAAACATAGTTTGGGGAGTAAAGGCCTCAAATGCAGAGATGTGTTGTGTCTATGACATTAGTTTTGATTGTTGAGCTTGTTTTTGTTTCTTTGTTTCACCTCTTATTCTTCTATTTGGTTGTTCTAAATTATTTCTATATGTCTTTGGAGTTGTGGTTGTTTGGGGGGGGGTTTCCCTTCTAATTAAATAAAGTCCCTTTCATATATTTTACTAAATTATAATTCAGTATATTTAACCTTTTTTTTAAGGTGAAAAAGAAAGCTGTCTAATCAAAGAGCAAAGATGCAGAGCACTTCGAATTACCTCTGGCTGTTGTCCGACGTTCTAGGACAGGGAGCTACTGCAAATGTTTTCCGGGGACGACATAAGGTGTGTGAGGAATTACTAATCTGAGTAACATGTAAAACTGATTTTTTTTTCATACGTGAGTAGCATTATGAAATCAAGAAAAACCTGTTGAAGATTTAGGTCTAAAGCAAATATGTCTTTGTAACTGTTCATGCTTAGTTTGTAATTTTTAATATTCATCCATTGAATTAGAGACCTATACAGTTATTCATAGGATTTGGTTTTAATATTGCATTATTTGTCCTTGTAAAATTCTAACTGTTATTAATTCTTCATTCCTTCATTTTTCAGTTTTATGGAAAAAAAATACTCATTGCTTAAGAATTTAAATAGGAATAGAAGTCTTATCAGTTTTTATTACGTTATATGTTATTTTTGTCTTTGTTAAATTATCTTTTCATAGTTTTTCTCTGTTCTTTTAAAACCCTTTTTTTGTTATTTTTATGATTCGGTACCATAATATAAATATTCTTAACATATTACTGTATCGGATGAAGTTGCTGTTAGTCTTTGTCCATAAGTCAATGCTTCATACATATCTAAGACACCATCTTCTTGGTGACATGCCTTGAGTAATCAGTACAAAATAGTACATCTTTGAGTAGTTTTGCCATATAAGTGATATACTGATGTGTGTGTTGTAACTTGAGTGAGGGGCTAAAATGACCTTTACTTGTGTAGGTCATTCTATTCCTATGCATTTCACACTATGTCTCACAAAATGAAGATAAGGCTAGTTGTAAACGTAATGTTCTCTTACAGAAATGACAGTCTGGGAAATCAGTATGAAGTTATATATAAGCTACAGTTTTTTCTATGTTCCACATTTAACTGTGAAGCAACACTAAGCAATGATTTAGCAGTTAATGTGCTCTTCTGGGTGAGTGAATTTCCGCACGGAATGATTCCCTTGTAAAGCTGATGGTTTCAGGGTTGTGCCTCTTATCACCCTCACTAGTCTGAGCACATGACCTGCAGCTTGTTGTCAATGGGAGAGAACTTCTACCTGGGCACCAGCAGTGCACATCTGTGTGTTGTACGACACACCCAGTCTAAGTCCAGGAAGGTTTTGTCCTTAGAATCTGTCACACACAAGACTGTAATGTAAGCTTATTCCTAGAGCAGGTGCAGGGAAGTGCTTTGCTCTGACAGGGACAGGAGTTGCACTCTCAGCTGGTGCTGTGGGTGCCTGAACATGTTGGGGCTTAGTCCCACTTTAGAACTTAAGTCTCTGATTAAGCTCATGACTCTGCTCCTGTCACTTATTATGTGGGTTTGAATTGCTTCAGGATTTTGCCTGAGCGGTATGTAGTGCTCAACACTGCCTTCTTTGAAAAAACAAAATACTGCTTTATCAGTATAAATAGAACAATAAAGAAAAAGAGAACGTCGCTCAACTTCCGAAAGTTGTTTCTTAACTTGAAGCAAGCCAAGATTCTCAGCTGTAGTACGTGTGTGTCTCTGTCGCTGATAGAGAGTCCAAGTGAGTTATGCACTTCCCTCATGAGAGAGATGTAACAATGTATTCACTGATATAAAATAGCGAATTAACAAAGTTCAAAGGTTAATGCGACATTCATGTAACAAGATTTGATGGTGAGGTTCACTTGATTTTTTACTGCATATAGGCCAGGGTCACACAAAACTATCAGGGAGACCCTCCCATTGAGCCACGAGGTTCAGAAAGGACCCCCTTGCTTTCTAAACTCCTCAGCGAGGAGTCTAGGTGTGGCTAGATCCAGTCCTAGACTCAGGCTTGGTCAACAGTTTATATATCAATCCTTTATTTCACTTAGCTAGGATTTTGCAGTTAGCATGCTATTGGTCACTTACCGAGGATCTGCTGCGGCAAGGAATCTCTCAGCCTCGAGGAGTACCCTTGAGAAGCGTACCTGCTCGAGGGGAGATCCTGACATGCAGCTCACTGTTGTTTCAGGAGAGCTCAGTGAGGTACAGCTATCACGACCACACCAGATATCATCCATTATGGTCTCCACTGGTGGTTATCGCTTGAACAGGGTTACAGGAAATAAGGGTCACGTGGCGGGGCAGGGGGAGCACACTGTCACAATCTCTTATTGATTTTTTCAAGTGGTGTACCTGTTGCTGAAAAATTTTTCACCTAAGTTTATGGGTCATTCTTAAATGTGTAGCCTTTTTTATGCTGGTTTTTTTTTAAAGCACTTAGATTTTGTGGGCTAACATTGAGTTTCCATTCTGCTAGTCTGTTTGCTTCTAGTTTACATTAAACTAAACCAATAGATACATAATTTTTTTAGTAGAATCTTAATTTGTACCTTAACACAAAATACTGTTTTGAACTATTTCTAACCTGGGTATGCTTGTATGCACAACAGAAGATCTCAAAATGTGTGGATAATAGGTATGTGTACATTTACAATCTTATGCTTAGGTTTGATTAATAATTTGTTTGTTTGTTTTGAACAGAAAACTGGAGATTTATATGCTGTCAAAGTGTTTAACAGTATAAGTTTCCTTCGTCCTGTGGACGTCCAGATGCGAGAGTTTGAAGTATTGAAGAAACTAAATCATAAGAACATTGTCAAATTGTTTGCCATCGAAGAAGAGGTAATGAATTGTTGTAGTTGTCATCTGAGATGCATGGTAGTAATGACAGTAATTGTCTTTTTTATCCTTAACTATAGGGGATAAAGTTACATTTTTAAAGAGTGATAACATAGGTGATGATATAAATACTCTGACCCAACCACCACTATTTTTTGTTTTTCTTTCTTTTTTGTTGTTGTTGAAAGAATATGCTTGCTTTCAGTGTTTGGGCACAAGTTATGGTTCTTCGAAGCCATCTCCAGAAGCCACTGTCCTAAGCTTTATCTTGAATTAGGACTTTTAAGCTATCTACATGTATGAATATTTAATACATACTGACAGCTGGAGGTGTTTCAGTAATCTTGAGAATTTTATGCATTTGCTTTGCAACCAACTAAAATAATGACATAGGACAGGTAGAACTGTATGTTAGTATGAATTGCAGTGGTTGTGGTGAAACTGGGACTGGTCAGTTGAAATGATTCAGATGCTAAGATTAGTAAAGAGGAAAGAACAATTGCTGCTCTCTGCTCTTCTGTGCTGTAGTTTCTCATTTGTCCACCTATCAATACCTGTCAGTCCTCTTAGTGCCTAGAACTGCAGGCTTTCTTATTTTTTTTTCTCCCTCTCCAAGTTAGAATACATTAAACAATATGAAAATTCACTTGCACACCTTCTGAAGAAGAAGATCACCAGAATGGGATTTATAATCTAGCTACAGATTTCTTTTTTTTTTTTTTTTTTTAAGTAACATCCTGCGGTTATATGTAATTTCTGACATTATTTTCACAATAGTCACAGACTTTTAATTTTTTTTTCCAGACAACGACTAGACACAAAGTGCTAGTTATGGAATTTTGTCCATGTGGGAGTTTATATACCGTTTTAGAGGAGCCATCTAATGCCTTTGGTTTGCCAGAGTCTGAGTTCTTAATTGTTTTGAGAGATGTGGGTATGTAGACTTTGTTCTTTAGTCTAATTCATTCACTGAAACTAACTCCTACTTGTTTTGTTTATCTTGAAACAGCAAGAGATGAGGAATTTGAATGACTGTTAACTAATTGAACAGATTAATATGGTCATATGGAGTCATATCTTTTATTTATATCTGTATTGGTATAGATAGCTGCATTAAGAAGCCATTTCTGTTTAAAGCATTGATATAATTCTTTGTGCATTTGTTTCAAGATTATTTGTCACACGTTGGATTGATTCCTAGTGATAATTATTCTCAGAAGAATAAATTAGAAAAATGATGAGGTTTACCTGTGTCTGCCTGTTATAAAATTTCCTTCCATTACTTAAAGGGAAAGATGTTCCTGAGAGCAATAAATACTGTAATTTAGCTGTTTGAAAGAAAAAAAGGCAAAAATGCTTAGGAGTATTCTCTAGTCCTTGTCTTTTTGTTAATTGAGTGTCCCTTCTTGCTCACCTTCCCCACTGAGAAAGTAAACACGTATGTCTTCCTAGCCTCCGTTAGAATTCAGTGTTTGTGCAGTCTGTGTCAAGATGTGTGCATCAATTCTGTTTGGTTTTGTTTTTTATCGAAGTGGCTGGGATGAATCATCTCCGGGAGAATGGAACAGTGCACCGCGATATCAAACCAGGCAATATAATGCGTGTTATAGGTGAAGATGGTCAGTCTGTTTACAAACTTACAGACTTTGGTGCTGCAAGAGAACTTGAAGATGATGAACAATTTGTTTCTCTCTATGGCACAGAAGAGTATTTAGTAAGCCCATATTTCACTTTTTGTTGAAGAAATGTTTGAGGCCTGGGACCTTTTGTGGTGAGAGTTGAATAGGTGAAGGTTGGACTGTTGGGCATTAGTATTTAATCCTTTGTATTATAATTGTTTTTATAACTTTCCACCTTTTTCACCTTGGGTCATGTTGGTTCTTCTGCTGATCTGAGCACAGTAGCCTTTAGATAATTTCTGAGTCCAACTTCCACTGTTGCCTTGTGTGAAAGGAAGAACAACAGTGTTTTATTTATGGGTGTTTCTGCCTTTATCTCTGTAGATTTTTCAGTTTGTATTTTTGCTACTTGGATGATGCTAATTGTAGTTAAGATTCACTTGCCATCTTAGTTAACCAAAAAGAGGCAGACAGAGAAGCATCAATACAAGCATCTCAGGCGTAATTTTCTTTGTGCCACATTTCCCACATGCAGTATCGTAACTGATATTCTTTGTTATGGTTCTTTTTCCAGTTTGGTTTCTGTTGTTTCAAAATCATCTGGAGGAATACTGGCTTTGTCCCCTTCTTTAGTAGTGTTTTATTCTAGTAGTCAATCTTTAGCTAAATTTTAAAATATTTTTTTAAAAGCTTTCATAAGTGTCTATCATACTTAGGAACACTTTTGTGATATTCTGTCAGAATAACTTAAGCAAATTCTGTGATACGAGCTAACTGCTTTTTGATTAAAAAGCTGTAAGTTTAGAATGACAAATTATCTTTTTGTGATATGATAGATTAGGGTTTAGTTCTTTATATTGTTCATAAAGCAATTCTAACTTACTTTTTCTGTTTTTTTTCTCTCTAGCATCCCGATATGTACGAGCGAGCAGTTTTGAGGAAAGAGCATCAGAAAAAGTATGGAGCAACAGTTGATCTGTGGAGCATAGGGGTGACCTTTTACCACGCTGCAACAGGAAGTTTGCCTTTCCGACCTTTTGAAGGACCTCGTAGAAACAAGGAAGTGATGTAGGTAATTTAGAAGGAGAATTTTTTCTGTTCGTAAATTAAGTCAGTCCATGACATGCTTTTTATCAAGAAATCCTACACACATACAGTAAACATTAAAATAGTGAAAATATTTAAGGAAAAACATCCTTTAACTTTGTTGTGGTTTAACCCCAGTAGGCAGCTGAGGACCACACAGCTGTTTGCTCACTCCCTCTTAGTGGGGTCAGGAAGAGAACTGCAAGGGTAAAAGTGTGGGAAAAATTTTGGGTTGTAAAAAAAAAAATTTAAAAAAAAAAAAAAAAAAAAAAAAAAAAAGAAAAAAACCAAACCCAAACAAAAAGACCCCAGCCCTAAACCCAAATGAAAACAAACCCAAGAAAAAAGCCAACTGCTGCTCAGTTAGTCTGTGACCAGCTGTTGCCCTGGCAGATTTCCCCCGCTGGCTTTTATTGCTAAGCTTGATGTCATATGGAATGGAATATCCCTTGGGGTCAGCTGTCCTGGCTGTGTCCCCTTCCAACTTCTTGCCTGCCCCCAGCCTACTCACTGGCAGGACAGTGTGAGAAGTAGAAAAGCCCTTGACTGCTCAGCAGTCAAAAAAACTTCCCCGTGTTATCAACACTGTTTTGGTCACAAATGCAAAACACAGCACCATATGAGCTGTTATGAAGAATAATAACTCTGTCCCAGCCAAAACCAGTGCAAGCTTTCTGCTTCTACTAGGATTTTACTGTGTGACACCTTAAGACCTGAATTAAGCATCAGAGCTCCCCAAAATACTGATGTTTTTCCACACATCTTTCCTTCACCACAGCACCAGGCTGGTCTGTTGCAGTGTGGTGTATATAACTTGGATATTTATGCAAAACTATGCTATTCTGAAATGGATTTTCAGTGCTGCAAATTGTTGTTGTTTAAATCATTGTCTTCCCAGGCAGTCTAGAAATGCACGCACTACCTGCAAGACTGACATATTTTGAGTAGCTTAGTTGTGGAATGTGCCTGAAGATAACAGGGGTAGCTCCTGAATGGGAAACAGAAGTTGTGTCTGTGATGTGCTGGCTGGAATTGATTCCTGTTTCTTCTTATTCTAGTTATATTGGTTGTTTTTCTGTGTGTTGTATTTGAAAAATAAAGCAAGGTGGTACTTGGGAACTGTAATAGGCCAATAACATCTCTGTTCTGGTACTCCTTGCAAAGCTGACTTCAGTTTTCTTAGTTTCTAAAGAACTGCCCATCCTGTGATTATCCTACAGGAATTCTTGTTGTTGTATCTGCTTGGGAAATAAGCAAGGAACATATGTTTTGTATGTACCTCGTCCTCCAAAAAGAGAAGGCACAACTGAAATTTTCTGTTGCAGAAAGCTTCTTGCTTCTGATTTATTTCATGAGAAATTTGAGAAATACTATCCTGTTAGTGCAAAGTTAAGACAATGCCAAATTGTATCCAAATTGCTAGATGTTTCCAAGTTAAAATAATTTCTCAAAGCCCACCTCCCCTTCCTTCTTTATCCCCAAGTGACTTTGTGGTGGCTAAATGTCACCTCTTGCCATAGAACGTGCTAGAAGTTAGTCATGTAAATGCCTAAAATTAACTGCCTTGGAAATCTGACTTTGTGGAAAAAACTTCAGCTTCCTTCAGTGATGCCTGAAATCTCTCCTAAATCTTTCCCAGACCTGAGGTAGACAAAGATGCTTCTCCAGCATAGCCCAAAGTGTTTCCTTTTCATTGTCTACTATTTTAGCACCACTCTCTGTCAGCTTGGAAATGAGGTTTCCTAATTATTACACCACCTACAAATTTAGGCCAACCTGTTGTTTAGATTTATATTATTGATACCCCTTTAAGGATTAGTTACGAGACCTATGTATGTATTAGAGGTAGTATTTGAAGTCTCTATTATTTTTATAATGTATCACAGGTATAAAATAATCACTGGAAAGCCTTCTGGTGCTATTTCTGGAATACAGAAAGCAGAAAATGGACCAATTGAGTGGAGTTGGGAGATGCCTGTTTCTTGTAGTCTTTCAAAGTAAGTTTGAACTTCTCACAAAGTGTTTCAATGCTACTTGATTGGATTTTACAGTTATTCTCTTAGGATTGGGTCTTTGGAACAGAGATCTGACTGTTACAGTTGCTTTCTTTGAACTCTTCGGTAGATTGGTACTGCCTACTATTAGGTTATCAAGTGGTTTTTTTCTTCCTTTCTGTCTATAGTTTTATGACTGCTAATATACAAGTGAGCATCTGAGAATCTGAAGTGTTACAAGTAGAAGAAAGTGTATTTTCTCCACCCTCAGAAAGGAGTATGAAGATTTAATAAACTTTAATTGATGGCCCCCCTTTCTTGCAAGAATGTGACTTCAGACATTACAAAGATTAGGCAGTAAGAAGGAAATTCTAAGAAAAAGCAGTTCAGAGACTTGCATTTTTGCTAGGAAAAAAATTCACGTCAGCACATTTTAACATATTCTCATAGTATCTTTTAAATTTTTTTATCATCATATTTTTGCTTCATGTGTCATAATACTCAGCAGGCAGATCCATGGAAGATCTAATCTCAATATATATGATCTTAAAAACATCTCCCATAACCCATTTACCTATTTATCTTCCTGAGACTTCTTCAGTATTTTAAAGTTACTACTCTTTCATGGTAAAGGAAAAAGAAATTGTTCTGTGAACAGACTCTAGAAACAAACTTTTCTGTAAGCCAAATGGGTAGATCCATAAAGGATGTAGAGTGAAAGTCTGATTTATATTAATTCAGTAGTTTATAGTGTGCAGAACTTGCAATTTGTATATATTTTTCATTATACTGTTGTTTCCTCTGCTTATTCCATATAATTGAAGAGCTTGAAATAATAAAGGAAGCAGATTTTTTTCATTAAATATCTGTTTACAGTAGTGTTTTCAAGTAGCGTTTAAATTGTGTTTACTGTTACAAGTTTAGTACTAAAGTGAGTTTGAGAACAGCATCCACTGACCTCTAATGGGGCCATCAGTGTGCTTGTAAACTAGTGGAGCTTGCTTCAAAATGTTACCAGTGTTACCACTGGATTCAGGTTTGACATGTACATAATGTTAAAACTTTGAAGAAGTTGTTCATGATAACACCAGAGTAGGATCCATAAAGTTCCTTGCAATTCAGATTCTCAAAGTAAGAAATACAAGAAATTTAAGCTGGCCTTTCTTCTAGAATAGTAAAGGCTGTAGGGCACATTTTTCTTTGCAGCAGTTGAGCTGCAGGCCTGGAGTACTCATTTAGCCCCATCTCAATCAGGATGTGCCTGGGGTGAGCTGGGTAAAATCCTGCTGCCCAGCTGTGCTAGAAGGTGACCTTAGCTCTACAGTGTAGACTTTTTAAATTGCATGCCATGTTTCCAATCCCCCTGAAATTTACCAAGGAAAAAGTATTTGATAGTTGAACCTAAAAAAGAAAGAGATAAAGTATGTGTATTAATGAAAAACAGTGGGCATTACCATTGAACATTTTGTTGTTCAGTAGAGGGGGAAAAAAAAGGCACTAGAGTATTCTTCAAGGGATAATAGATTTGCATTCATGAGACAAGTCAAATGAAGCATTGCTGCTGGTTACAAGCTGGAAAGATCCAAGTAGATCCAAGTTGTCTTATCTCTTCCTGGTGCCCTCTAGGGGTCTGCAAGTACTACTCACACCTGTCCTGGCGAATATTCTGGAAGCAGACCAGGAAAAATGCTGGGGATTTGACCAGTTCTTTGCAGAAACGAGTGACATACTGCACCGAATAATAATCCACATCTTTTCAGTACAGCAGATGACCTTGCACAAAGTTTATATTCACAGCTATAATACGTAAGTGTTCTCTCTCTCTGTTTTCGTTGCTTTGCTCTTATTCAGGCCCACAGTACTGTGACCTCAGGTCACCATTGTTATAAATTTAGTAGCCTTTCCTTGGCACTTTGTCTGAGGAAGTGAAAGCTTGTAATTCTTCTGTGTAGTCACAATGCATAGAAGCTTGTTGGCCAAAAATAAAATAATTGAAGGTCAAATCAACTTAAACTTGGTCTTGATCAGTGACAGAACACAGACTTAATCCTTGGTGTGTTACAATGTGTCTGTATTCTTAGTGGACGCCAACTCATCCCACATTTGTGTATGCTACTTATTTACAAAGTTGTTTTCCAGAGAATATGTTCAACTCTCGCTTTTCTTATCTTGCCCTCAAGAATACAAAATGTGCACATCATTTATGACATAAAACTCTCACAAGGGTTCTGAAGTTGTAATTGGTACAATTTAGGATCCTGAGTTATATGGAGTTCACTTTATGGTCGTTGTGTGCTGATGTTTAAAGCTGTAAAGTGTGGTTTACAGTTTGATGCAAAAATAAGTGCTTTTTCCCTGCCTTATTACAGATAATACAGAGCATGTGTTATTCTCTAATATACAAATACACTTATTTCATCAAGTGTGTAAATGCACTTCTAGCCTTTTCCAATTTTTCTTTTCTATTCTGTCATTTGTATTTTGAGGTAGCCCAGATGCTATTTTTGCAGAGAAATCTTGCTTGTAGCTCAAAATGCTATTTGTACTTTATTTTTAAAATTTATTTTATTATTATTTACCTTTATGATTATTTATATACTAGCTGTAGTATTAAGAAGTGACAGGGTATAAGTGCTGCACAGGAGGCAAATTGGTCCTTCCTACTGGTGTGCTTAAGGTTTTTCTTCTTTGTGGAAGGGGGTGTGTGTGTGTTTGTTGTTGGGTTTTTCTGGGGGGGAAGGTTTGTTAGAAATTCTTATGTCTTGTATCCATTGATTGCTGGAAATAAATACCAAAGTGTCTTTGATCTTCCTTATCACTGCTGGTTTAGGGGATAAACTGGTTCTCTCTCAGCTTACAGGCTGAATTTAAGGTATGTCCTTTTTGACATGTAAAACACCAGACTTTTCTATTGGAGAAACCGTCCATCTCCTTTGAAGAAATAAGTGAGAAATGCCTGAGAAAACTAATGCTTCCTTCCTCTCATCTGGTGTTGCCTTTTTGTACTGACCTTTGGACTTCAGGACAAAGCAAGTTTGTTTACACAGATGCGCTTTGATGGAAAATCAGAGGTAGAAAAGGAAGTTTGATATTTTGCAGGAAACAGCATTTATTTTTGTAACAGAGCAACCTGGAGTCTTAGGCAGTGTGCTGCTTTTTGTTCTGCTTAGAAATCAAATGCTTTAATATATAAAGCCAGTTCTTAATTAATCAGAAGTAAAAGAGGTTTTTATTTAAGTAATACAAAATCTGAATTGTTGAACTATTGTAGTGAGTCTAACCACTGCCGAATATATTGTTTGTATTATAGAGCTGCTATATTTCATGAGTTGGTCTACGAACAGACAAAAATACCATCTCAGAATCAAGAACTGATATATGAAGGTCGGCGTTTATTACTAGAGCCTGGCAGATTGGCACAGCACTTCCCCAGAACAACTGAGGATAACCCCATCTTTGTAGTCAGCAGGGAGGCTGTGAACATTGTTGGATTAATCTATGAAGAAGGTATATGAAAGTAACTTCCCCTTTCTTATAACTATCTCTTGTGAATAGTTTGGGTTATTTAATTATCATTTTATGCCTGCTATGTCTTAGAAATAGTGTTTGAAAATTTTCTCTGTTGATGCCTGAAGTTCTAAGTACACAGTCTAATTTTTTTTTTAAATGCTGAGTATCCAGCATATTTTTACAGAAACAGTAGTTGCTTGTAACGTTCCTAATGCTGTGAACCTGAACATTTGTGTGTTAAGATGTAGTAGTGCATATGGAGTTCTGAAATTTTTTGGAGCATGACACTTTTATCAAGTAGAAAGGAACATTATAGAATGTAATTCAAAGCTGGTTCTTTGGTTCCGTTACTCACCAAGTGTAAATTCAAGTTTTGCTTTGTTTTTTTTAATTTGTCATTAACATGGTTATCCTTTCAGTTAACAGAGGAGGTCTTAACAACTTACCTTTGCTTAGAAGATAAGGTAATGCCATAACAGAAAAAAAAAGAAATTAAGTTTTTGCATTTCCATTTATCATTGAGAGGGCCATGTGCCAGAGTCCTTTTCTCTAAGAGATGAGCTGGAGGACATGCCTCCAGTTGAGAGGTCAGTGTTGCTTTTGCCAGTATGTCCTACATACCGATGGCTCGGGCCAGCTGGCGCTCACACAGAGGTGCTGAAGAGTGTGGGTAGGTGAGCTGTCTGTGGAAGGATCAACAGGGCCTTTATATTGGGTCAGAGCTTTCTGAAGGAGTCAGTGAGCATGAGAACAAAGAAGATTCAGCCGATAGAGGCTACCCTAGGTTTTAAAAAGCTATTTGGTGAAGTCCTGCCCTGAAGACTCTCAATGAAACTAAACAGCCATGAGGTAAGAGGGAACAGTCTCCCATGTGGGAAAACATAGGGCTGAAGAACTGAAATAAATGGTTGGCTTTTGGTATGGAATGAGATCACTAGTGGAGACCCGTATGAAATCTGTGCTGTGCAGCATGTTTAAAAGTGAGTCTGGAAAAGGAAGTGAAGGACAGTTTGCTGAAGATACTAAGTGTGGTGGGTTGACCCTGGCTAGAG